GCTGTTACATTTCATCCTGCTACTCAAGTGGTAATTCACAGAGCCTATATTTGACTTTAGAAAAACTCCGCTCTTGCTCTAAAGACCTCAAATGATTGAGAGTTTGTCTACCCTTAAGTCGAATGCTTCTGAGCACCTATATGAATGATGTCATCTGTCTCCATGGCTTATTGCTCCTTTTGGAAATACAGCATGATATTTCCATATCAAGCTCACTCTCAAAGGTGTGATTTCTGCTAACCGAAATACAAGAAAGAAATCTCTTAACTTTTCTTTTCCTTCTTCTTCTGCTTTTAAGCACTGGAAGAGGTCTGATTATCTTGCCAGTCCCTAACTGCACTGTTGCCTAAGTTATGACTGAAATGCATAGCAGAAGTACTATGCAGTAATACAGTATGTGAATTGGCTTTAACAAAAAATATTAAAAGATCTGATCTATTTTCTTATTTTCCTTTGTAACGTTAAATTAGCTAATCTAATAGAAAAAAGCCCTTGATGCTCAGCATCTTGAAACAATGCTTTCTATTCTGGCTGTGTCTGCATTTGTGCTGGGAGAAGTAATACTGTACTGTTTTGGTGAGATGGTATTGGTGCAGTTTTTAATGTCAGTTGTTAATCGGCCTAAATTTCAGATTTTACTAGTAGCTCAAAGGTTGGTGAGGATGCGTGCAAAGATACAGGATCATTAAAATATATGCTGAGCTGGCCTTAATTTGCTTTACTAAACCAGATTTAACTCAGCAGGTGCATTTAGTATGCTATAATTACTTCTACATAGTTAAAATTTCAAGCTTTTAAATGTCCACAAGGCTTGATTGTGAGCAATCTTGCGTGATGGTTAGGCTCAGCAGAACAACTGAACAGAAGCTGAAGTGAAATGCATGTTTAAGTGTTTTTCCTAATGAGGCAGAATATGCTTAAGTGCTTGAGTACTTGATTGAAAAGGGTCTTCAAATTCTATGCAAACGGATAAAATTCACAGAAGTATGTGTGACAGCTAATGACACGTTCTAGGTCATAGACTGCTTAAAGCAAGGGGATGATGCATCTTCTTACAGACATGATTTTATGAAAAGACACTCTTAGATCTTATCTGTCAATCTACTGAATAGATGAGTTGTTAACAGTGTGTTTGTAAATTTATTAAGACTATCGCAGGCAGCAAGGTAAGGTGATAGAGCGCAAAACTTTGTTGCAGTGATCTTAGCAGGAGTTAAACACTTTGAAGTCTAGTTCTTCCAGAAAAGCAGTAATTCACTTCTACCAGGAGAGGCTGCTCAGCAACTGTTTCTTGGCCATACAGCCATATCAAAAGCCTTGCTGCTTCTGTGGAGTTACCTTCTAGCAATAAAATTTAGCTTGGCTTCAGCACTACCAAAACCGATGTTCACATGTACCTCCTTAAGTTCAGACAGCTTGTTTGAGAGGTTTCTTCCTCTTGCGCATCTCCATGTGTGTCTGTGTGCGTGAGCGCGTGCCCTCTCTCTCCAAGTGTTTTATGAGGTTCTGAAACACCTCAGGTTGTGGGGCAGAGTATTTCACTTAGTGGTAGTGGGCCTGAGAAGCTTTGAGGATTTAGTTCTTCACCTCTCTTTGCCTCAGCTTCCCTTAAGTTAAAAAAGGCAGTAATAAAACTCCTCACATACCACTATGGCTGCTCTTGCTGTAATGAGTGCCTTACCATTTTGGGATGACAAGAGAATGTGGCTACCCTGAGCACTGAAGAAGAGGCCTAAGAAGAGGCCTAAGAAGGCCTCTTTAGGCATGTTCTGTGGTCTATGTATTCAGACATATGCCAGGTAATGATCTGCACTGAGGCTGGTGGGAAAATGGTAGGAAATGGTAGAAACAGATGTGAACCAGTTGTCAACCTGTTCAGATTGTAGGCAATTCTTGGTGCACCTGAAAACAGAGAGATATTTAGCTATGTTTCTACAGACAAAAATTCCTAAACAAATACTCTCTTCAGGCAATGCTTGAACTGGAGTTTTATAGCTGTTTTTAAACAGTTTGGCCAAGATCATGATAGAAATTTGTACAATATATTTACCTACTCTCTCCAGTTGCAGATTGATGCCCTAATCCCCTTTTTCTTCCTCTTTTCTGTACTACTTGTTCTAGACTGGAATTCCTTGAAACAGTCCTTACTACTTTGCTCCAAACAGGACAAATGACAGGTGTAAGGAGTGCCTGACTCCACCTGGGACTTTACATGTCTTACATGACCTCCACTGCAAGGCTACAGAACCAGAAGTGGTTCATCATCCCTTAAAAAGAAACAAGTCAGTCAGTCTAGGGCACAAAAACTCTGTGTATACTCTCCTGCCATGACTCCTCTAGCCCAATTTCCTGCCTACACCTGCTGTGTTAACTGAGACGTGTTCGTGGGGACAGAAGGAGAGTGACCCTTTGGAGCACTCCTCCTTCTTTGACAAAGGTTTTCTAGCCGGTTTCTAGAGCAGAATATTTTTGCTGTGCAGGTATAATTGTCTTGAATGAGGTCTTCTAGGTACTCTTTGTCTTATGGTCCAGGCAGCCAGATATGGCTCTCTTTGAGGTGTCTGGTCAATAGGCCAGGAAACACAGCTTCTGGGGGACTAAAGGAGACTAGGAAAGCTGTTCTTGGGGCAGGCTGTGGGGGTCTAGTCTCTTCTTATGGTCTGGGCGAGGGTGGAGGAGCAAGGGAGGAGGGGTTGAATATCAGTAGTGATTTTTGGCACTTGCTGAACAAGCACATGTCACTTGATGACATATATCTTAACTTGTAGTTCAGAGCAGGGCTCTCTTGTTCTTTGTACCTTACCTTGGTGCAGTTATACCCCACAACACAAATAACTCTTCAGTTACCTGAGGCAGTCACCTCTGCTGTGTCCCTGGACGATCCTCAGGCCTGTGGCTCTGTGCTGGGGCCCATTGGCTCCCTCTGAGGGAGGCCCTTCATCATGTAACAGAGACAGGACCTCATGGAGAGGGTCAGGGCCCAGGCTCTGGAGCCCAGTAGAGGAGACACCTTCTGCCAAGCAGGCTGAATCCGGAAGAGAGAATGCCAGCCATTTCTGAGGATAACTGTCTTGCCAAGGCCACGGACAACACTTGTGACTGAGCAAGGAGTTGAATCCTGCTTGCCTGTGTCAGAGATGCTAAACGTTAGAAAAAAATAACAGTAATAACCCCAGGCTCTGAATATGTGTTGGTTTAGCGGTTGCTGTTCTTCCACACCCAGCATGAGTGAGTTTTGGCTGCCCGAACTATTAACCTTTTGAATGCACTTCTGAAAGGAGATGATTTTGATTTACACTGACAAAGCGTATAAGGTAGAGGAGTCCTGGCTGTCCACATGCCGTAAGTAATAACGGAGACAGTTCTGTTCATTCACTATCTTTAATGAGTGCAAAGTAGAACAACACACTAGTTTAAAAAAAAAAAAATCCTTCTACTTGTGCCCCCTGGAATGTGGTCCTGGCTAGATTCAAAATTATATGGCATACAATGTGTGTCACTCTTTGACTTAACAGAAAAATGATGTAGCATCCATCCTTTTATGCTCCTTTTTTCTTTTTTTTTTTTTTTTTTTGTTCTACATCATGGACCTTTTCTGGCCAAATTGCTCTTTATTTATAAATCTTTTTATTGCTCTCCTTGATCACTCCCACTTCAGCCAAGACTAAGCATACAGTACAGAAGCCTCAAGCTTTCATTTTTTACTCTCCAATATTTCAGATGGTAAATCAATCCTTTTGCTTATGAGCCCATGTTTTGTAAGTATTTTAAGGATGAGATTCTGCACCTGCCAAAGAGAACTCTCCTAGTTCCCTTCAGCTACTGAGGTGACATAAAGGCTTTGTCTACACAACAGCTTACCTCTCCAATTTCAAAAGGCACCTTAACCTTGACACCGCATATAAAAACTTCCAGCTCTTTTAAACGTGAGGTCAGTGCTTGACTTCTGGCCATCCAAGAGTACTCGGTCAGTGTTTAGATCAGGGCTTGCAATCCACACAGTGCCATGTGGATATAAAAAGTAGCCATGCTGGCACTCCCATGCAGGAGCATCTCCTGTGCACACTTGATTCACATGGAAGTTAATCAGATTACTACTACCATCCTATATCCAGCAGAGAGTAAAAATGCTTATCAAAAGCAGTTTCACAATAAATAAATCAATTTTTTGCATCAACCTTGCACCTTTGAGCTTTGAAGAGGTTATGATGTTGAAATAATTTGCATATGCTTGCATACCCACTTCTAAAATACCTTTTGGAGGGCTTGTCCGCAGCTTACAGTGGAAATGGAAGAGAAAGTCCACCCCTTAGCACTGTGTTGTCACCCATTCATGATGTTTAATCCCAGAGCTCCCGCTCATTATTTTATTTATTTGTTCATGTAAACATAAACAATGTTGAAGGCACAGCTGATCTTTCATCATCAAACACAGTCTGAAATCATTCTGAGGTGGTTTTAGATAGAAGGGAGTCAGGTTTGTTGCAAGCCTGTCTGTTGTTCTTACCCAGGAGACAGGGTAGCTAAGAGCTTGGGGAGTGATGAGCAGGTCAGTGAGTTCCGCCTGGTGCTTGAAACAGCCATCATCCAGCTCTGCATTGCCTAGCACTGGTTCTTTGACTGATTTTTTTGTGTAGAGACTCCGCAGACAAGGCAATAAATGTGTTTTTAAAAATTGCGCTGGAAGGTTTGAGAGTAACCAAGCAATAAAGGTGATACACATTAAAAATGTAATACACAAAAGGAGAAGGCAGCAAGAATTCTTCAATATCCAAGCTATGATGTGCTTCATCTTTTCCTCACTCATACAAGTGTAAATCTAGAATAGCCTCATTGCAGATAGGAATTCATAATGTTGAAGACTGCCTCTGTAGCCTAGTAGTCACCTATGCTCACATCTTACAGTGTCTGTAGTTAGAGATGAGTCTATGGGAGGCTGTCCCTGGAGAAGGCATTTAATGGAAAATAGTGCTTGTGAAGAAATGTTATTGTGCTGTTACCTTGCTTTTTGGTGAATTTGTGCTTCTGCCAAGAATGTTTTAAAAATGATTTGACGTTCAGCCCCAGGCTCATCCTGTAACAGAGCAAAAGCTCCTGAAATGGTGCAAAACACATTCCAGATAAGAGACTTGAGCAAAGCTGTTTGCCACCATCTGAGGATCTGGTCCAATTGTCTTGAATGGAGTACGTGTTACCTACTATTGACGTGAGCGAAATTAAAGTAATTGTATTGGCTAGAGAACAGATTAACAACAAGAATAAATTGTCAGTTAAGCAGTTGGGTTCCTAACAGCAACATTTACGCACCATTGTCATTTATTGTCATTGCTTTACTATCCAATTTTACAGGTCCTTAAACCTCTGTTTTTAAAATCGCACAGACATTGCAGCTCTGTCACTGGACTGACAGAATCACTCAACCCTTGGCAGAGCCAAATTTTTGGGTGGAGAGATCAATCTTAAATTCTACTGGGAATCACAGGCCAGGTGTCCCCCACCTATCTTACTTGTGTAGTAGGATGTGGCAGACATTCACATCTCTCTTCCTCCACCTGAGACAGAGCAGAAACATAGTTCTCCATGTCCTAGGGCAGTACACTAACAAAATACCTATACTCTATTTTGGCAGTGTGCCTTTCTCAGCTTTTGTCAATTGAAATTGTTCTTTTTTGTATAACTAAAAACTCTAAGGAGTGTTGGCTTCAAAACTCTCCTCATATGCATGCCCATTTGTAGTTAATTTTTAACTTTTTCCTCTCTGTTTGTGACCTGCTGCATATATAAGAATTGGTTAAATACAGACTTTACCTATAGGTGCACCCTGTTTGGAAGCAATCTCCATGCAGCTACAGAGCTGCTATAAAACGGGATGCTGAAATCTCAGATTACTAACACTGTATTTTGAAGTGTATTTATTTCCTTCATCTTTTAGCTATGAACAGGGAGGAAATGCTTTGAAATGTTTAAACTGAACAATTTGAAGCGTTTGCCTTATACAAAATATGCACTTTGCAATAGTCATACTAAACAGTTCAGGTTACCGTAGAATTCTGCATATCCTTAGGAGCCTGTTTAGCTGTTGATAGACCTTACTTCTCTCTCTCTTGGCAATAGCGTTTCTGCATGTGTATCTGCAGGAAGGACAATGATCCTTTTGTGTTACCTTGCGAGCTTATGTATATCCTTAGTAGTTTTCAATCCTCTTGGCTCCTCTCTCATGTACGCTCATGCATTCACTTTTTCTGCTTCTCTCTGTCCCATCTCTTGAGGCCTCAGATGCTCATCTCATATATATAATATAGGCTTTCCTATATTATATATATAATATAGGCTTTCCACTGAGATTCATTTGTGATACACTGATGTTATTTATCCCTAAAGCAGCTCAAATGTTGCTGATGAATGATGTGTATTCCTCCTTTTCCAAGGAGTTGACAACATTCTCACTTCACCCTTGGGAAGGCAATAATATCCCTAGTCATTTGGAGTTCATTCAAGTCATCTTGCACCAGTTGCTTGAATTTCAGCACAACGTCGAGCAACACCTTGCTGCCACAGAGCAATATCACATCGACTGCCACATTGACTGCCAGAAATGGACGTGAAACACCATCACCTTTCCAGAATTGCATAAGAAAAGGTAGTCACACATTTTCTGATAAATGCTAGCACAATTTACTCACCCTGGATCAGCACTGTGTGATTCAGAATTAACCCTTTCCCAAGGAGTGACAACTGTATATTCCCAACAAGTGAGAAGAGGATCTTGGCTGTGATGCACAGTACATGCACTTTGATCTCACTGATCTACCTGCCATACTGAGAATCCAAAAAATTCTGGCTTTTATATTTCAGCTCTCAATCCCCTCCACAAAAATATGTGGTATGCCACTGAGCTGCATGTGCACAGAAGCTTTGATGTACTTTGCATACAGAGGACTTAACGTGTCATCATTGACACATCAGTCAGCTACTTGATGCGTAAAAAAGCAGCTGCTTTTTTCAAATAAAATGCCTCTCTAGAAACAGTTCATACAACACTAATCAAACCAATAAATCTTTGTACAATTCAGTATCAGCCAGTAATTGCAGTCAGTAATGCTAGAAATTACTGCAAACAAATCTGCTAGTAGAGAAATTTAATCTTTATTGTAACGTATATGCGGAGAGAGGAAGAATTAATGTGCTAGATGACTACAGACAGTAATTTGATATATTTAAAATCTCATGAATTACAAAATGTATCTTAAAATAGCACTACAGTTTTGCTCCATATTCTTTTAGAAGAAGAAATGGATGATTAAAGACTCACTAAAAGGTATCACATTTTTGGCTCCATGTTTATATATACATACTTACAGAAACTATATACAGTAAAAAAATGCAATTAACATTGCAAAATTGGATGGTGGAAAGTAAGCAAGTGCAACAACCTGCATTGTCTGCGCAACCTTTGTTCACCTCCCTTAATGTGTTTGTGATGTGATGGTCACTTTCAATTACATAACAGTATATAAATACAGCCACATAGTCTTTTTCCTTCCTTCTCCCTCAGTGCCTAGATTGAAAAGAGAAGACATCTCTAGTTTTCTAACTCTTGTCATTTATTTTCTTAGCTTCTTTCATGAAGAAGACACAGTCATCGGCCTAGTGTTAGATGGAGCAGCCCATGTTGACATGAGTGATTTTCCCATCACAAACAACCAAACTAAGAGTCATTAGTTGGCACAGCCTCCCTTTCCATGATATACACATAGTTTCTCAAACACTAAGCTGCATAATTTTGATCTCTGTCACCTTTGTTGCCAGCAATAACTAGGCATTGCTTACAGCATACGCAACTTTTGGATTACATATGTAAATAAAATTAGGAGTATATGACGAAGAATTTCATTAATTCTTCGTCTTTATCTATTTTCATTAATTCTATGTCTTTATCACTGCTTTATTTGTGGATATAGCTGATCATCTGATTTCCTTGCTGTGCCAGAGGAGTTTTCCTTATGCCATAACTTGTTCTATCTCCTAAAGAAGTGTACAACTGAATAATTTATTTGGATGAGCTGAATATGAAAAGTATCTCTCAAAAACAACCTTTCACATTAATAGTATTTAAAATTGTACAAATAAGATATTAGTCAAGGAAAAGGAAAGCAATTATGTGGCTCTTCATAGCATGCATTATTAAGGTATAGCATGCAACTGAGTAATAGGTTAAAATAAAACAGTTAACAAATGATGATTCTGCTTTCCGGACCAAGGAGGAGGATCTATTACCTTATTTATGTTTATAGTCATGCCACACATACCTATGTGGTGGACCCAGAAGTGTCTGAATATTAATTAGAATAGCTGTTTATTGTTCAGTTTTTCCTATATGCAATCTGATTTTCCTTGAAATGAGAATTTCTAAAGCACTTGGAAGATGTGTCTATATTTACAAATTGTTACACCAAAACCTTTCATGAAAGTACAAAAATTACTGCATTTAGAGTGACTAAGACATTCTAACTACTGAATACTTCTGTTGCTCTTTTTCTGAGATGAACTGTTGTTTTTGCTGGCAGCTTCTAACAACACATATTCCTGTTTCGTGACACAGATGACAGTAACCTGCTGTTCTGGAGTAAGTTTGTCACTAACGTTTAGAAAATGTTATTAACCTTACTGTAAGTGGTACTAATAGCATTGTTTGTTCCTGATAGATGTACAGAAAATATCACTTCACATACCAATAGCCTTGGGCAAACAAAGATATTTCCCAGTTGACTTTTGTGACAAAAAGAGGACATTTTGGATGTCCTGAGAGATACTTCTCATGTTTTCTAAAAGGAAGATGGCTTGTTTAGTCTGTGACAGTTGTGTTGTACAGGTGGCTCTTGGCTCCCAGCTCTCTGCCATTAGACTGGCACCTTACTGCAAAGCTGCAGGGTCTCTCCTGCTCTGGGCCGTCATGTGCCAAACACAGCTAACTGTGCATGATGCTCCCAGTTAAGGGCTAGAAGAAAGGTTATGGAGCTTGATCAAGGAGCCCTGCTGAAAGACATGGAGCCCTGCCATCATCTACCACTGCCAGCTGCCTCCACCTGTGACCAGGTAAGTCTTCCACAACATGACCTGATGCAAGTGTTGTCCCCTGCATGAGAGCAGAATATATTGAACTGGAAAAGGAAGTGATTCACTAAAATGAGGGGACACGGTCAGTCTACTGATATGAAACTGAATAGTTAAAATTGGAAAAAGAATAGACAAAGAACCCAATGCATGAAGGAGCTACATTTCACATCAATATCCCAAAAGCCTGGGACAGTATCTGAAAATAACTCTTCCAGACCCTTCACGCCTCATTAGAATAAACAGGATGCGCTGTGTAGAATGCCTGGAAGTGAAATAGAGGTGGGAGGAAGCAGAGCAAGGCGAGAAGAACAGTGCAGATCCAAAATCACACATCTAATTTTATTCTACTGATACCAGGCCCCAGGCCTTTAGTTTACATGCTTGCTATGTGGATTACCCTTTTAGAAGTGATTAGTGATACTTCTGTATTGTTTTTCAGGGAAATCACGTGCTCTTCAGCATACTTGTTATTATTTCGATAATGTGCAGCATACTTGAAGGATATTTGATTTTTGCTATAGAGTGAAAGACAGGAAGGTTAGAGATAAGATTTTAAAGTAACTAGTTTTGTGACCTGCTGCTCTAAGTAAATAATTGTTTTCACAATAAAATCTATGAATGCTTCTATTATTTGGTTAATATTTTACTAATAAATGCAAACCTATAAATGCTTTACATCCAGTGCAGGGGAAGGAAAACAACAGAAAGACAGCCACCTCTGAAGAGGCATCAGCAAACCAGCAAAATGTGTGTTGTGCGGAAGCCTTGGCCAAGGACTCCACAGTAAAAGTAAGTCCTATATGCCCATACACCATAGGTAGGATCTTGGCTTTTGTGGTTTTTATGAAGTATTTGATAACTCTGTTGTTGTCGTATCTGAATATCATATGTCTATTTTATTTTTAGGTGTCACAAGATGCCTGTGAAGTTTGTAAGCCTCATTTTTTTGATGGTGAGCTGAAAGAAACTAGCTGCATTGACACTGTTGTGTATGGTGCTGCTCACCTCAGCCTCAAAACCAAAGTACCTTTCCGGCTATACTGACTGGTTTAGGAGTCACCTCTGGGGTCACCTTGCTTATACCCTTAGGGGCTAACTGAGGCTGTACTCAGAGCTTACAGCAGTGTGCAAGGCACACATCTGCACTTAGATCCTAGGTTTCCATCCACCCCATCTGTCCTTATAGTGAGGGCGTGGCCCCCTTTTCTGCTTGATATTATTTCTTTCAGGCTCCTTGGAGTCTTTCTGACACTGCTGATTCCCAGGGCAAATGCGTTTGCTAAGTAACCTGAATGCAGTGTGCCTTGAGCAGGTTACAGGAATTATTGGCACCTGAGAAGTGCCAGTTCCTGAGAGGCCCCCAGAAATCAGAGTACTCAGATGCCCAGTTTAGCAAGGCTATTTTAGAAATAATTGTGGAAACTAAGGGTTTCTCCAAGATTAAACAAAGTCTGTAGCAGAAGTG